TAATTTCTATTTTTAATACTCTTTAACTTGCACTAACCTTTATGTATTATATATTTATTTAATTTATCGCGTACTGAAAAGGGAGGACATTAAGGTTTTGATTCTATATGAGCATAACAGGTTTATTGAACAGTCGTCGACATCTATGTACTTCCATGTTAGAGAGATATAAGTGGTAGGTAAAAAAGAAGAAACGCTTGATTTGGTTTAGAGAAGAAATTTAGTCAGAACAAGATGGGTAACGTGCTAAATAGAGAAATTGAGTGTAATCTGTATCACGTTTCAAGAACCTTGCCGTATTTATGTGTGGCGTGAGGCTATTGTAAGAGGGACGAAGTACAGTGAAATAGTTTCGGCCAATAAGTAACAAAAACATTTGTCCAGGTTGAAAAGAACACAACTGTTGTATAATAAAAACTTGAATTTGAAAAATATATTTTTAAAATATTGTGATGTTAAAATACAACTCGGTCTTGCGGATAATATTTTTCTTAGAAAGAACTAAATGAGGAACTCGTATGTGGATAAAGTTCAAACAGGTTATATAACTGCAAATGTCTGCCACAGTGTGAACTCCTAAAACTTGTCATATTACACAAAATCAGACAAACTACTTCACCAACAATCCTTGTCATATCAGTGATCAAAATATATTATGGCAATGCGGGTTAAATGTGAAATTGAATGCGATAAAGTACATTTTAAGGCATTTGTTGGCTAAAACCAACATTAAAATTACTTTCCAAATAACCCGATAATATCAATATATGCATTACGATGAAAGCATATATATTACATTAGTTAAGTAAAATGAGATTTCTTGATTTTTAATCAAATGCTTTGCTTTATTTATAACTTAGTTTCGTCACGTATGTTACTTCCGCATTTAAACTTATTTTGAAGAGAATAACATTTTCTGAAATCTATACGTTTTTTACAATATTATTAAAGATCAATGAAACGGCCGAAGTTCCTTCTATTGCTTAAAATAAGTTTTGAGTGGTAGTTTTAGGCTACCGACTCGCTGTATTCTGCAGTAACTTGAGTTTTTGCATCAGAACCAGTATCTTTGCGATCACATGCCAGACATGGCATCTTCTCACGTAACACCTGTTTGTATTTGGGATGACTGCCCAGTTAAAAATATGAAATAAAATGTATTAAATAAACTTATAATAAAATAAATACTAAATTCACCTAAGTCCATACACAATTGGATTATACACTGAGTTTGCTTTTGCAAAAGCTGAACCCAGAACAGTACTTAAAGGCGAAAGATACATAGAACCAAATATACCAGAAAAATTTATTACTGTGTAAGGCGTCCATGCGAAGAACCACAAAGATATTGTAACTAATTAGACAAATTTTAGACAATTAATTAGACAATTAAAAAGTTATTGTAATATTAATATGTTTACCCAAAGCAACTTTTGCTAACTTAATTTCGACTGATTTACCCTTATCAGCCTCACTGTTTCGTAAAGAAGCCACATTCATCTTTTTTGCTTGTTCCCGCATTTGCTGTTCATGGATTCGGACAGCCTAGATGAGTTTTGATTTTTTTTTTATTAATAGGACACAATAATTTTGATTGTTTTGTTATAAAGTAATATTATCAATATAAACAACTAAATTGAATTAGATTGGATTATTTTTACCTTCATAATATACCAGTACGAGTAAATAATTGTAGATAATGGAGTCACGTAAACCCAAACGAAATAAACCATAATATAGGAACGGTTCCACCAATCTTTAGCAAAATAATCAGTTCCGCATACAGTTAAATTTCCCTCTGGTACATAACGATTCCAACCCAACATTGGTAAAATGGACCATATGCCACAAATACACCAAATAACCAATAGCTGAATTAAAGCACCAGTAGCAGTTAAAGGTTTGCGTGATATACCTTTAACAATAACGTTGTAGCGATCACGTGCAATTAAAGTCATTGACCAGATGTTCACACATCCGAATAATGAACCGCAGAGACCATAAATTTCACATAAAAGCGGTCCCATAATCCAGGTTTGATAGAAGCTATTTAAAACCATTGGTGGAAACATTGTAAACATCATCATGAAATCTGAAAAGGCAAGGTTCACAACGAACATATTTGATGGCGTTCGGAGTGATTTTGATGAAGTAAATATATACATAACAATGAAATTGCCCGATAATGACATTACGCCCAAAATCGATACGAAAAAACCGATAACTCCAAACCACATTGGTTCCATTGGTGGCCAACTGTACCAATATGGATCAATCATGTGATAAATTTCAGAAGGCACAAAATCAGCTAGACTCTTGTTACTGCTATCGCGCAGATAATTTATAATTCCAGTCGAAGCCATTTCTATATATGTTGTTCTGTTACTCTCCAGTTCCAATATTTTCATAAATTGACACTTAAAAAGTTAAGGATTTTACGTACGTTTTAATAAGCTTGATGTTAGTCCCAAAATTTACATGTTTCGAATTCTCATTTTTTATATGGCGACTTTGTTCCTGAATTTCCGATTGGTGAAATTGGACAAATGTACTGTTGCAGTGTGCTTGCTACTACTTTTTGGTATCGGCGATGGCTTTTCCTTGCCTTTTTATACTGACAAACACATTGTAATTTGAAATGGTATCTTAAAGGTACTTCTGACTAACTTAATTGACTAATTTAATTAACTAAGTTCAAAATTAAGACTATGATTGTTGACAATTTATTTTAGCGGATTAGCAGGTAAAAGCGTTTTAAGTATTACATGTCTAATACCTTTTTACTTTTAAATTATTCTTGAAAATATGTACTTAACGGTACACGTACCTTAAGCATAGTCTGTCCTCATCACTCTCACACTACGTACGGGCATATTACTTATACCTATTGTAAATATGTAATACGTAATATACAATATACTCGTACTATCTTTCAAAAATATTCATTAAACAGTTAAGAGTAAAGAATTCTATTGTTTTAGTAAATCTCTACATGGACTTCACTACTCTGTTTTGAACTATTTAAAGTTTTTAATATGCGAAAGGAAAGAAAACCCAATTCTTTTTAATTTTTCATTTATTTTTTTTTTTTTTTGAAATAAAATTTTTGTATATTTTTTTACATATCTTGCATATTTTTTTAAAGTTAGTTTTAACTGGATGTCAGTAGGATTATAGGTTTGCACAAGCTTGAAAGATTATTTTTTCGTATTACAATCAATACATATACTTTCAATATGGTTATAGAGTTACTGTTTTAGAAGCATTTATTCATAATAGAAGTTAAAAACTGAATACCAAATTTTGAAAAAGTTGTTATGACTGCGAGACCCAGACCTTTTAACTTAGTTTACCGTATGGATAGAGAATTGTTTTTTACTCTGACAGCCAGGATGCTCTTAAAGCTTTATCTTTTGGACTTTTAAGTCGAAACAGGTCCTTGAATGTTATGGGCTTCTACAGTTACTTGCAACTCGGAATAAGGTAAGTCTTTACTGGGTTTCGGACCGCAAAGGAGTTTTGGTAACCGCTTTCACAGATCCTCAACCCTTTTGTGGGTTAAACTGGGCAAGTACAAAACAAATAATTAAAGAGAGGGAGAATCATATGCGGCTAGTGTACTAGGAAGACAATGCAAACCACTGTTCAAACCGTACTCCTACAAGAACAAAGAATACTTTTATAAATCTTTCAAGTCAAAATATATACATATATATATATTGGCACCCATTTAGCTAAATACAGTCAAACTTCCATAAATCGAAGTCCAATTTTGCAAAGAAAAGGTTCGACTTATGGAAACTTCGAGTTAAAGAATTTTTTTTTATTTTTTTTTTTATTTTTGAAAGAAACTAGAATTACATATTAAGATATTTATTTATTTGCTATCAAATAAATCAGTGAAATTAATTTATATTAGAAATTAATTTAGAAATTAGTGTTTGAAACTTTAATTTTTTTTTTTGTTTTCAGTAAAAATATATTTCACTTTATTCGTACTCTAATAGTGATCTTCTGTTGTAGTATCATTCGTTTGAAAATATAAATTCAGAATATTGAATGAGTCTTCTACTTCATTCTTGGAAGGCTGATAAATAATTACATCCACAAACCTTCCCAATATCTCTCCCTAAAATTCAATGAACTGATTTGAAAATCAGTGAAATATTTGAAGAAATACCTGTTGCAATTACATACCGAAAAATTTGTATGGATTATGATGAGGATATTGCGAGTAAGAGCCGAACTCAGGAATGGCTTGCTAGATCAGTTTCGGAAATATAATTTTTCGATGTTTGTTATGAAGATGTTTCCGAACTGTCTTTTTGATCTTTGCAATCAGAGATCATATCAATAATTTGACCGTTTCTTGTGATAAATACTTCGACGATCAACAATATCAGAAAGAAACGCATATCTAACTATAATAAAACCTTACAAGTATTTGAGAATGAAGAATGAATTTGTATTTTTTCAATTTTGTGAACATATTTAAATCTATATGTATATCAATCAAAACTATCAAAAATAAAAATTTCAATTAAATTTTAGAAAGGAAAACCAAAAACAGTGCGTCGTAAAACTCTGATTACTTTAAAACTGAAACTGTGATATAAAACTGTAGTTTCATCCACTGTATTTTATTGAAAAAATTCCGTCAATATGTGAATTCACTAAATGAATTATTAGTCACTGTAATAATACCATCAAAAAGCAATATATCCTAAACGTTCAGAAAAAATAAGGCGAATTGATGATTTAAGATCTTAAATTTTAATACCACCATCAATTAATATTTTACGGGTCTTTGATGGAAACTGCAGGGAAAACCGCCCGATTTTCTAAGCCATATATGCCGTTAATGACCTATTCCAGGTGATATATAATCATCGTCATAAATTTGAATCATCATTGAAGCGTTTCGATAGAAAATCTTCCGAGTTTATAAAATAGTTAATAATTGCTCTTTGCTTGGTGTTCATTTTTGTATAGATAACGAACACACAAACGTTTATTTCAAATGTAATAACTCCTATCCATCTAAAGGTCATGAAATGATCTACACCACTGAGAATACTGAGTACTGAGGGATCTATCTTATCTTTACATATAATTGCCAATAAACGGCAAATATATATTTTCAAAATGTCCTGTTTGCTTTAAAACTTTCTACGTATTACATACATTTTTAAATTTTTAAATGATAAGCTCAGTTTGGATATATGTGCGAATACCCCAAGGTCTTGAGATTAACAAACATTCTGATACGAATTCATTTCTAAAAGTGAATTATTATATTGAAATCAATTAAGCTGTGTGGAGGGCACTTAAATATTAGCATGACAAAATAATTTTTATACAGTAAAAGCTTTCACGCAAGTTTATATTAAAAGCTTTTACAGAACAAAATACTGCGCCGCGATGCTAAAGAAATTGTAAAAAAATACGTTCAATATTTTGACTTGGCAATTTTTTATGTGGATACTTTTGTCCGTTTTTTTCATATGTCGTAAAAGGTTTTCCAACTAGTTTTTTATAGATAATCACGCAAATATGTTTAAAATAATTTTATAAAAATTGTTTATTATATTGGCAATGGCATCAGCAATAATATTAAGTCGGTGGTGTTAATGCCGATACGTCAAAAAGCAATATATTTTAATCATTCATTTTATTAGATATAACATCTACAATATCCATAAAAAAATTTGTTTTTAGTAATTAACAAAAAAGTCCTTTTCTAAGACTTTAATTATCCATTAAATTTCATAAGTTCATTATATCAAATCATATGGGAAAATATGCGATATATGTACATATATTCAAGAGAAAAGAAGATTTGTATGTTAAGAGAGTTAATAGACTTTTACCGCTTATGGTGTTTATCATTTAGCAAAGCTATTAGATAAATATCAAAAATATCTTTGTTGGGAAAGTCAAAAGTGTAAATCATTTAATTTTTGTTTTTATTTGCATTTGACAAATAAAAACTATGTTAAGGTTTATAAAAAACTAAGGTCACAGTTAAAAAGTTCCGAAACTAAATTATAAAACCCCATTTTTTTCGTAAAATTCAATTAAATTGATGTACATAGTTTCGTTAATGTACAATACAATAATTCAACCGTTTTTTAAATATTTTAATACTTCTCTTGTAAAAGGATTTATCTATGGTCCTTAAATAGGACTGCCTTTTCCTGGTCAGCAAACAGGTAGTAGTGGTTGTGTATCAAGTCTGACCAATACAATGGATGTGGAAACAATCCGTAGTATAGTTCGTGTAATTTCAGCATTGTGATCAACGACCTGTTAAACAATAGTTTAACAAAAGTTTCATTTAGCGTCGCTTTTTTACCGTCTAGACCTTTATATGCATAACAACAACTGTGCATAATATTCGCTATTGATGGCTTATACTTTTTCAAAATAGTCTATGAAATCACGACTACTATGGCATCTCAAAATATGTATGCCATCACCATACCAGCTTAGCATTGCATCTTTGGTGACTTAAGACAGTTTTCACTGATAGCTGGTTGCTCTGTTGACTGCCGCTTTGGCATAGGAACGATGTGGTGGATCCATGTTTCATTCGATGTCACATATGAATACAAAAAACAAACAAACAGCTCTTTGAATCGTTAATAAGTTTTTTTTGGTCAGCTGTTAAAAGCGTAAGCTATCTCCTATAATTTCACTTTACGATTTACCAAAATAAACTTTTTTTTCGATATTTTCCGGTGTAGCGGCCTTATTTGGACAAACAGAGCGTGGTACGTTTAACGGTTGCTTTCAATGGAGTATATTTCGAAGAACACTTATCAAGCCAAACTTTGGTTTGAATGGTTTATTTTCTTAATAAAACGCAATGATATCAATTAACACACGAAAAAACTTTGATTCTAATATTTTCATAATAATGAAAGTTGCATCACTAAAACCATTATAACGTCTGAACTAAACGTTAAAAAAAACGTTGTAGTAATATTTCATTAAATCATTTAAGGCTTGTAGTAGTCGATTTTGTTAGATTTTGCGCGAATCATATGATACGGAAACATGTAACTGTGATGTGACAATCCTAGACGATTTTCTCAATGTACTAACTCTTGCTTAAAGAGGCTGTAGTAATCTATTTTTTCAGGCTGAATAAATAAATCAAGTGAGAGGACTTAACATATCATAAGGATATAATATATCGTGTACCTAAACAAATTAATTTTGAGTGTAGATAGAGAAAAGGATTCCTTCAATTGTTTGTGTAATAACAAATGATTATTAGTAAATCAGTTTCTTTTTAAGGAAATATTTAATCTTTACTTCATATTTATTTTTACATTCATACATATTTTATAGGGTTTATTAATTTGTTATAATTGTTCAACAATATAAGATTTTATTTTATTTATTATACAATTGTGACGAAAGCAATTCAACCAATTATTAACTGTTGTGTCATCAAACGTACTGTTACATTAAATGGATTAAATGGAAAACTGGTGTAAATCTAAAATAATGAATCTACCAATAATAAAATATTTGTGAAGTGAATATTTTTAACATAACAAAAACATGGTTCTTTGAAGTTTTATTCAAAATGATTAGCCATTCATTTGCTGCTACCAAAAAATTATATTGAATTATGGTATGTCGTTGTTCATTACATTTCTCTAAGAAATCATTTACAAGTATGTGTATCATTGCAGTTCTGGAAGATATTATGTTGCGCAAAATCTGACTGTAATATTTTTAAAAGGAATGAATGAATGAGCTGTTTATACGAGTATGAAATTTGAAGATTTGTGGCATAAAAAATATACACATAACAATATAATGAGTTGACAACAAGCGTTTAAAGTTCGTATAAAGATCTAATGAATGGACGTGCCAAAGGATTGCGAGATGACACCTTAAAAATAATATATTTTGAAATGGTGTAGGCACTGGGGATCACTGCATGCATTCTTATTTGATAAGAATAGTCAGGCTTGTGTGTGAGCACGTATTGGACGCCTAAAAGAAATAAAAAGGTTTAACTCTGGACGCTCATGCAAAGATTTTGCTAAGTAATTTTATGAATTTGATGAAAAATTCATATTACTAAAGACAAATTTGCAATGCTGGCATTATTCAACAGAACTTCAAGAAATACGATAAAACTTTTTATGTTAAAATCGTGGAAATTGTTTGATTAAAGTTTCTTTAAAAGTTAATCGTACACTACAAAATACTTTAATTATGTACTTCGAAATTTATATATATTGTATTTACATTTATTTATATTGACCTTATTGTATAATAGCTATATTTATTAGACAGTAAATAATAAATTAATTTGATGATTTGTATTATATTATACTATATTTATATAATATATTATATAATCTTATATATAAAATTAACATTGTCAAAATGTTAGTTACCGTACTCCTCCGAAACGGCTTTACCGATTTTT